ATATATACCTAGGTCGAGAAATCAACATGATGAATGACCTGGCACCTGAGTTGCACAGGAGGAAGAGAGCAGCTTGGAATGCCTTCAAGAGCATTGAAGAAATAACTAAAAGGACAAAGAACCTCCAGCTACAAGCACATCTCTTTGATTCCACTGTTCTTCCTGCATTAACATATGCCTTAGAGACCTGGACCCTATGAAAACGGGATGAGAACGCTATTCGGGTCTCTCAAGGAGGAATCGAAGGAACTATGCTTGGAATATCACGATTCACTCAAATGAGAGATAGAATCCGGAGTTCTGATCTTCGTCAATGCTCAAGAATCAGGGACGCTGTCTCATTTGCCAAGACATCAAAAATCAGATGGGCTGGACATGTAATGTGGTTTACAGACAACCGCTGAACTAGAGCCATTACTGATTGGATTCCACGGGACATCAAAAGATCACGTGGACGCCCACCTATAAGATGGTCAGACTTTACGTCAAGACCCTAAATGATCGGTTTGAGGCTCTGCATGTTCCTAGAACGAACAGATACCATTGGGCTACGCTAGCACACAACCGGGATGAATGGAGACGTTACTGGCACCCGCTTGAATAAATCGATGAATAACGGGGATTAAGTGATTAAGTGATGACTCTTTCTTATGATTCTTTAGTAAATATAAAGAAGTCATTCGTAGAAAGAGATAGAAAGTCAAGGAGCAACACAAGAAAGGCATAAACTATATTGTTTTAACAAAAAGCATTCAGTCCAAATGAGAGGAAATCTCTTACGGTTATTGCTCTTTGAAATTGTGTTACAGATATAAATATATCACTTTCTCTACAAGATATTTGAAATTTAAGGGTAAAAATTTATCTGAATTTTACAAGATGAGTTGGAGAATTATATTTCCTTAAGTTTCAAATCTGATAGAAGATGCACACTGGAATATATGAAAATAATGGTTTATGTGATGGTGTCTATTGTGAAGGAGTTAAAGAAATGTCATAGAACATGAATACAAGTGTAACGTAAAACTTGTTGCTTTTTCAAACATATAATATCTGCAGAGCTAGCCAAGAAACACATGATTAGCTGCATATGACTCTATCTTACATAATCACAGTGATATTTCCCTGAGGACATATACCACAGGGATTGGGAGGGAAACTCCAAGAGAACAAGAACCAAAGCTTTATAACTCTGTTCACTCAGCAATGTAGCAAAGCAGGGAGCCTAATAAGGCCCTGCCGACATCAAAACACACAAGACTATTGTTCTTGCTCTGACTTCTGGTGAGTGATAGATACAGGTGGGCCTAGATTAGTGCAAATCACAGAATGTACGGACTTGAGATAGAAGCTGAAAGTTATGGTCAAGGTTTCTAATCTAACATTCTCTCTGATGCAGAACGTACATTTATTGGAGGCCTGTATCAGTCTAATCCCTTTATACAATATTTTTGTAGTCTTGGTAATAAATCTTTGAATCCTCTTTCCTTAATTCACGATCATTCCTTTTTTTACTCAGAGTTTACGTCAACTTCAGGTCAAACTATATTTATGTTACTGTCACTGTCACTGCCCTCTTGTTCATCAACTTTTGCTTGCAGCGGGCCCAGTAATATTGTGAGACTTGTTAGTGTGATTGGCATATCAAATACATCACTTGTAGCTTGCCAGGCTTTGCCGTGCGGGTGAGATACTCTCGGTAGCTTGCCAGGTTCTCCGAGAGGGGTGGAAGAATCGAACTTGGGTTGACTGTGTTGGCCACATGGAAGGCAAATGCCCTACCTGCTGTGCTATTGCTCCAGCCCATATTTATGTAAGACACATATTAAATAGTTGATAAATAAATGATGTCTAAAAATATGAAAAGAAGGAAGGGAAATGGGAAGGAAGGAAGGAAACAAGGAAGGAAGGAAGGAAGGAAGGAAGGAAGGAAGGAAGGAAGGAAGGAAGGAAGGAAAATATATCATTTCTATGATAGATTGTAGTAGAACACCAAATATTTGTCACTAAAATTCCAAGAATTAGGAGCTACAGTTACTTCTTATGATAAACCATTTAAATAAATTAAAATGTGAAAACTTAGGTACAAGATTTTTTTAAAGCAGGATAGTTCTGTATTCATGCTGTATTTATATATGACTTAATTTATGTAGTGTTTCTAAGGACAGTGGAAATTCCAAAACTCCAGTTCTGTAGTTATAATTTTTAAGACAGTATTAACATGTTTCAAGAACTATAAAACTAAAGAGCCATCTATAGTATGAGTAATGTAGAAACATTTTTCAGAAAATTATACATTTTTCAAAGAAAAACCTTGAAATTTAAGTTGCAATTATTTTCTACAAATATTAGTAATGACTCCTTAACCCACACAGTCATACCTTTCAGTTTATTGGTAGGCACTTGGAGAAACTACAAAGAACCATTATAATTCAAAATATATCTTTGTACATAATCAGATATGTTAGTTGAATCTATTCTCTACATCTAAGCATAAGACGATAAGATCATCAAATTCTCTTTTCTAATATCTGTAGAAGATAGAATCAAAACAAAAACTTCCCCTACTAGCCTCCAACTCATCTGTGAACTGATCACTAGCCTATCAAGTATAATTTTAAGTATACTAAATATAAAGTTTTCTTCTTTTCTATTCTTATGTTTAAAGAATCACGATCACGAGATCACGACAACCATGTTGTTTGTCAATTGCCTCGAGCAGGCTCCAGTAACGTCTCCTTCATTGTAGTCCTGAGATTTTTTTAAAAAAGTGCCATATTCAAGGATCTTTCAGGGTTAGGAGAATGAGACCCATCATTGTTACTGGTATGTGGCATATTGGGTACAATATGGGGAGTTTGCCAGACTCTACCGTGTGGGCAGATTGCATTTGGTAGCCTGCCAGTTGTCCAAAGTAGGAATGAAATGATAAGAATATCATCTCATAAGAATAAATAATTTAAAAAATTAATACCAGTTTGGTGACTATTCTTTAAGGCACGTTCATTTTAAATCTTAGATGTTTTTCTTTTATGAGTAATGATACATTTTATGTACTTATGAGAATTTTAATCTTTAACATTGAGAGGCTGATTTTTCTTTTTTGTAATTAAAAGTTTTTACTAGACTAGTCAGAAGCAGGCTGATGGAACGGAAATCTGTTCATTGTCCACATTTTACCTTATAATAAAAATTCAGAGACAGAATTGTCTTAGAACACAGAAATGACCTTGGCAACTCACCTACTTTCCCATCTCCACAAATTATATCTATATAAAGTTCTCATTTTCCTTTTTATTTGACAGATTTTTTTCACATGATAGTCCCAGTCCTTCATTTTGCTTTCCTTAGAGGTACTTTTCATTTGTCTTAAAAATGTGGACCAATTATCAGCAATATATATTTACTTTATACTTCCCATGGTCATTTCAATTCTGGCAGTGTTATTCAACCCTCACAGAAATTCTTCTCTGGGTTTTCCTTAGTTGACATTCAGAATGGGAATGGGTATTGTTGGGATTCTTTATGACCTCCCTAACAGTTATTATAACTACAAAATGTAAAACGATTATAACACAACAAAGATTCTTCCTTGGTCATAGCTGTAACATCAATTACTAATTGATGTTATTATTTTGTCTCCATTTTTATGGGGGTGGTCACAACTAGAAGATCTCAGGTCTTACTCTTGGCTTTGCCTTCAAGGTGGCAGGGCTCCAGGAACCATCTTGGAACCATCTTGGATTGAGCTATAGTCAGCCATGTGGAAGGCAAATACCCTACCCACTGTACTATCTCTCTAGCACCATATCTCAATTGTTAAAAGAATTTTTTTTGAGGTGTTGACAAAGGAAATTATTTAATGTGAGCTTTTAATATAAGACTGAAGTTTATCTTGAACCATATGTATTCAGATTTCACACTTTATTCCGTATTTAATAATTACCATTGGAGGTATTCTAGGCTCATTCTTTGAAAATATGAATTGTGGCATGGATACTACATATTCAGAATTAGTGTCTTTTATCTGTCCAATGATCTTTTCTCTCATGAACAATTTATGATGTGCTCTATGTTGACTTGTTCTCTACTAGACGTTTATAGGCATATGCTATATGTTATTTGTCATTTAAAAGAGATTTGTAATCCAGTAATACAAATAAAGTACAGGTGCTTATAGGCATCTTCTTATTACATGTTATTTTTGTTTTGGAGCCAGCAATATTTAGGGACTACTCTGGTCTAGCGATCACAACAATAGTTCCTGGGGACCATGTGTTGCTGGGGTTTAAACCCAATCCTTCTGCCTACAACATGTGATTCAAATTCTTGTTATCTCTCTGGTCCCAAATATTATTTTTGATATCCTAAACCGCATTAGGTATACAAAAGTGTATAGATTGGTAATGTCAGGAGTTTAGTGTTATCATTAATGTGTTTGTATTTTGTTTTCTACCTCTCAAGCAACCATGACATGTAATTATCCTTGTTTCACCAGTATCACCTGTCATCACATAGTTCATTGATTTGCTCGAGTGGACATTAGTAATGCCTCCATTCATCCCAGCCCTGAGTTTTTAGCAGCCTCTCCTTACTCATCTTGTAAATCCTTGTTTAGATTTTGTTAAAACTATATATTCTGGTATTAAAACTTACCTTGTTTAGGGACTTGGACTCTGTACTGTCAACTAAATTTCCCTTTGCATTTTTTCAGAGGTTGAATAACTTTCAAATGGGAAATTATTTTGAATTTGGATAATTATTTTATTCAAAAGGCCTAAATATGTTTAGCCAGGACAAACCTCTAAAACAGGAAGTTGAATTATAACTTAGTGAAATGTCTAAAGGACTGGAACTCAGTATTGTGTAAAGGGAAAACTAAAAATTTTTTGTATACTTTGATTATGGATGCTATGCAGGATGAGATAATAGAGAAATGCTGTAAAAATAAAATTTTGCTTTCTTTACAATTTCTTCCAGGTAAAGCTCTCCCCAGAATAATGGCAATTACTATCAACAACAATGTGAGCAGCATTTTCTTCATACTCATGGATTTCCCAGGACTGGAAAGTGCTCATTGTTGGACAGCAATCCCTATCTGTTCTATTTATATTCTCTCTTTTCTGGGCAACATCACTATAATGTACATTGTCAAGTCTGTGTCCAGTCTCCACACTCCCATGTACCTTTTCCTCTCCATGCTTTCAATGGCTGACCTGGGCCTCTCCATTTCTACACTACCATCAATGGCAGCAATCTTTCTCCTGGGTTGGCGAAAAGTGGAAGCTGCAATCTGCTTCATGCAACTCTTCTTCATCCACACTTTCTCAGTCATTGAATCAGCTGTGCTATTGGCCATGGCTTTCGACCGCTGTGTGGCCATCCGAGAACCCTTACGCTATGCCACTATTCTCACAACCAAACGCATTGGGGCCATTGGGCTTGCCATTGTGACCCGTAGTGCTGCTCTTCATCTTCCTTTGCCAGTGCTCCTTGGAAGACTACAATTTCATCCTATAAACACTCTGTCTCATTCTTATTGTGTTCACCCTGATGTTCTAAGGCTGGCCATTTCCAACACTCGTGTGAATAGCGGCTTTGGGCTCTTTGTCATGCTTTCCACGCTGGGGATGGATGCTGTACTCATTCTTCTCTCCTATGTGCTAATTTTGAAGACAGTATTAAGCATTGCTTCTAATGCTGAGCGGCTCAAAGCTTTCAATACCTGTGTGTCCCATATTTGTGCTGTACTTCTGTTTTATACCCCATTAGTCAGCCTATCTATGATCCATCGCTTTGGCAAAAAAAAGCTACCAGCTCAAGTATATATGCTTCTCTCATACCTGCACTTTCTTGTACCCCCTATGCTCAATCCAATTGTCTACAGTGTAAAAACCAAAGAAATTAGAGTCCGCATTCTAAAGATGATTCGCCCTCAAAAGCTGTGAATTATGGAGGTAAAATAATTTGTGATAAACACTCAGCACAGATAGTAGACTCAGTACAACTTTTATTTAATATAGCAATAAATTAATTATTCAGAAACTGTATATATTATGGTGTTTCCCCCAACATTAGAAAATCTTGCTTCAATGAAATATTATTTTCTGTTAAAAATCAGTATCAGTCTGACAAATACTCAGGTTGTCATGAGGTAAGCAGGCAATCTCTTGAGAGAGTACCAGTTACAACAAGCAGATTATAAAATCAAGATTCAGAGACATCTAAGATAACTTCTAATTGAACATCTAGGAATCTACAAAACTAAACTCTGGGGTTTTCCCATTGAGTCAGAGTGATAGCACGGTAGCTAGGGTGCTTGTCTTGCATTCTTCTTACTCAGATTTGAATCCTCGCATCCCATACAGTTTCTAGAGGCCCTCAAGTAGTGACACGTGAGTACAGAGCCAGGAGTGAGTCCTGAGTGACACTGGGTGTGATACACAGCCAACCACCAACAAAAAGATCTTCTCCATTGTTGGAATTCTCCTTGGCACAACATCTTTATTACTAGATGTTGCTGGGCCTGAAGGGAGTGCCTCCAGACCCACTTCTCTGGGAACCAGCTGTTGCCTGTGAGACATGGGTAACAGTCATCGTGTGTTGGAACAATACTTCAACCTTGCCTCTGCCTTAGAGTCTTGAGCATCAATTGTCCCTGACTTGATGAATTGGCCTCTCTTTTCCTCGGTCCAGACATTTACAATCCATTAAGTATACCTTTAAGATTAGCAAATATGTGCAATCAAAATACTTCTGATTTATATAATCACTTAATCACTTAATCCCCGTTATTCATCGATTTATTCGAGCGGGTGCCAGTAACGTCTCCATTCATCCCGGTTGCGTTCTAGCGTAGACCAATGGTATCTGTTCGTTTTAGGAACATGTAGAGCCTCAAACCGATCATTTAGGGTCTTGACGAAGAAGTCTGACCATCTTATAGGTGGGCGTCCACGTGATCTTTTGATGTCTCGTGGAATCCAATCAGTAATGGCTCTAGTCCAGCGGTTGTCTGTAAACCTCATTACGTGTCCAGCCCATCTGATTTTTGATGTCTTGGCAAATGAGACAGCGTCCCTGATTCTTGAGCGTTGACGAAGATCAGAACTCCGGATTCTATCTCTCATTTGAGTGAATCGTGATATTCCAAGCATAGTTCTTTTGATTCCTCTTTGAGAGACCCGAATAGCGTTCTCATCCTGTTTTCGTAGGGTCCAGGTCTCTGAGGCATATGTTAATGCAGGAAGAATAGTGGAATCAAAGAGATGTGCTCGTAGCTGGAGGTTCTTTGTCCTTTTAGTTATTTCTTCAATGCTCTTGAAGGCATTCCAAGCTGCTCTCTTCCTCCTGCGCAACTCAGGTGCCAGATCATTCATGTTGATTTCTCGACCTAGGTATATATAACTGTTGCATTCGGAGATGGTGGTTCCGTTGAGAGCGAATGGAGCGTCAGGAACAAGGCTGTTTCTCATAAACATTGTCTTCGTAAGATTCAGCTGTAGTCCGACCTTTCCACACTCACGGTCAAAGTCCGCCAGCATTTGTGCCGCTTGGCTGATGTTAGAACGATGTCATCAGCAAAGCGGAGGTGGTGTAGTTGCCGACCATCTATCTTCACTCCCATGCTTTCCCATTCCAGTCGTCGCATGATGTTCTCGAGGGTGTTCTGATTTATATAACAACATATAAAAATTATCCTAAAAAATACACAAAATAAAGTATTTCACACTTTGACAAAGGGGTTGACAGCATGAATAAGCAAGAAAAAAACCTCTTTAACAGGTGGTGCCAGGAAAACTGGTTAACCACATGTAAAAAAATAATAACTAAGGTACCTATCTCACACCATATATTAAAGTCAACTCAAAATGAATTAATATCTCAATATAAAACCTGAATTCATAAATTTTATAGAGGAAAGCATAGGCACAACCCTCTATACCATTGAATCTTCAATGATAAAATATCAGTGACCAAGGAAAAGACAGCAAAGATAAATAAATGGAATTATATCAAATTAAGAAAATTTTACACCATCAAAAACAATCATGACCAAAATAAAGACAAAATAAAAAAGACAGACCAATACCTCTATCAAAAGCTTAATATCTAAGATATAGAGCACTGATAAAACTTACCCCCACTCAAAAAAAAAAATAGCCCAAAATCTCAAACAATTAATCTCTTCCAAAATTTGAGAGGAGATGAACAAAACTTCCTCAAGTTTTGTTGTCCAGTAACTTTCCTATGTCCAGTAGGTATACAAAAAATACTTTGCATCACTGATCATAAGAGGAAATTTAAACAGTGAAATATCACATCATACCAGTGACACTGCCATACATCATAAAAAAGAAAACAATCAGTGAAGTCATGAATGTGGAGGAACAGGAACCCTCATCCACTGCTAGTGGAAATGTCAACTGGTTGAACCATTTTTGAGAAAGCATTACAAACACTTTTAACAAAGCTTAGTGTTGAGCTTAGTGTTGAAATTCCATATTGCCCACTAACCCCACTTCTGGGCATCTATCCAAAGAGCCCAAAAACAACATTCAGAAAAATTATCTGTGATGACATGTTTATTGCAATGTTATTCATAATGGCCAAAACCTAGAAACAACCATGACACCATGACAAAAAAAATGACTGGGTAATCTGATATATATATATATATATATATATATATATATGAATACTACTCAGCTATATAAAAATCATGCAATTTATTACCACATAAATGTATTTAGAGATATCATGCTGAGTAAAGTCAGGCAGGAGTAGAGGGACTGAGAATGACCTCTCTCATATGTGAGATATAAAGAAGCATAGAAAGGGAGTAACAAACTATCAAAAGTAATGGAACCTAATAACCTAATAACTGAGCTAAAGAATGCAGCACACTAGTGAAATGTAGGAACAGAGAGGAGGGTGTTGAGTAGGGAAACTGAAGGGGATTTGGGAAAATGGAGGGGAAAATGGAAACTGGTAGAGTATGTAGTATTGGAATGTTACACGCATAAAATCCAACAATTTACAGTATTTTAAAATTGCAAGTCATGATAATTAAACTTAAACCATAAAATATAATAAAAAGAAATAACCAAAGAAAATAAAGCAAAAAAAATCATTTTTCTATGTGGATTTCATTGTTATGAAATTTGTCTTTAATTCCTTCATCTTTTTTTTTGTCTTGTACTTTGATATCTAGCTTTTGTGTAGCGAGTGTGTGTGCATGTGTGTGTGTGCGCGCACACATGTGTGTGCAAGTGTGTGTATGTTTGTGTGTGTTCACTATGGTAGAACTTGTGACGACAGTAGCCAGATCACAGGGTGTGTGCGTGTGTGTGTGTGTGTATTAACTGTGGTAGAACCTGTGACACCACTAGCCAGATCATGGGGTTTGTGTGTGTTAGTGTGTGTATGTGCGTGTGTGTGTTCACTATGGTAGAACCTGTGACGCTACTAGCCAGATCATGGGGTGTGTGTGCATGTGCGTGTGTGTGTGTTCACTATGGTAGAACCTGTGACCCAGTACCCAGTTTGGCACAAGCGTCAGATGAGCAGTGGACAGCTAGGCCCGGGAGAGGGCTCTCATTCCACATTCTTCCCGAGCCTCGCAAGGAGTCAGTCCCGAGCACTGTCAGGTGTGGCCCCCAAACAAACAATCAAAAAAAGATCCGTTAAAGAGATTTCGGCCCTGCGTAAGGAGGAGGGTGATTGCTTGGAAGCGGTTAAACACGGGGAGCCTGCCCCAGATGAAGGGCAGGGGTCACAGGAGCCCTCCCCAGGTAGAGGGGCTGCTGAGGCGAGGTCACAGGTCACGGGGAGTCTCCCCCAAGTGAGGGGCAACTAAGGGCAAAGGTCACAGGTCACAGGGAGCCTTCCCCGGGTGGGGGCGGCTGAGGGCAGAGATCAGGGTGCCTGTGTGTCCTGCGGCTGCTGATTTCTCTCTGTTCCCGCAATCTCCCATGGCCTCTGAGAGGGGTTTTTCCTCTTTTGTGTTTTCCGGCCACACCCGCAGGTGCTCAGGGGTCACTCTGGCTCTGAGACAGTGCTCAGGGGACGCTGTCCGGTGCAGGTTGGCTGCGTACAAGGCGGTCGCCTTCTCCCCAGCATGCTAAATCCGGGCCAAAGTCAGCATGAATAGGCCGTTTGTTCACGTGTTCCCTGCTGTGTCAGTGGCATTCAAGGACTCAAAAGTTTCCTTTTCACTTTTTATTTTTAGGCCATGCTTACTGCCTGGTGTGGCTCAGGGTCTCCTCCTGGCAGAGTGCTTAGGGATTACCTCTGGTGGCATTTGCGGGAGGGGGGGGGTTGGGACCCCCAATGGTAACAGGGATTGAATTGAGGTCAGCTGAATGTAGGGCAAGCATCATGACCCCCAGGCTGTGCTGCTGGCCCTATTTGGTTTACATCATTAGGGTGTTGAGTGTGTCTTTTTTTTTTCCTTTTTGGGTCATGGCAAAGCCTGGCAAGCTCCCCGTGACATATTCGATATGCCAAACACAGTAACAACAAGTCTCACAATGGAGGCATTACTGGGCCCGCTCGAGCAACTCGATGAACAATGGGTAGACTGTGCTGTGCTGTGTGTGTAGTGAGTAGGAGGTTCCACAGATCTCTTTTCTTTTCTTCTTTTTTTTTTTTTTACTTCTTCTAGGGCTGGAGCGATAGCACAGCGGGTAGGGCGTTTGCCTTACAAGCGGCCAACATGGCCGACCCGAGTTCGATTCCTCTGCCCCTCTCGGAGAGCCCGGCAAGCTACCGAGAGTATTGGATATGCCAGACACAGTAACAACAAAGTCTCCAATGGAGACGTTACTGGGCCCGCTCGAGAAAATCGACGATCAACGGGAGGGCCTTTACCTTTACCTTACCTTTACCTTCTAGGTGTACTTATTTTGACTCCTACCAGTACTTTCTTTACAAAAAGGATTGTAAA